AAATGATCTTATCTTTTTGTAAAGGTACCATTTCCTTTCAGTTGACATACCCTTTGGTGGTAATATATGAGGTAGTTTATCTTTCATTATTTGAGCGTCCTCCTTCAGCAAATTGAATTGTGTTACTGGGCCATCTACAGCTTGTCTGGCTGCAACTACACCAGGTGAGGTCACATTTACAACAAAGTGTTAAAAGCCTTTGATGCCTTTTATTTTCTTGAATAATGTAGCAAAGTAACTAGACCAGTCAAGTGTTTCTACAATGAGTTCACCATTGCTACTTCCTATTGGGTGGACTTTGTTCACAGCAGATGACTGTTCTACAACTTGAATGAAGTCATCCAATGAGTGCACCACTGCTTTACGGAATTTTTGCTTTAATAGTCCGAAGCACCATTCTTGAGAAAATTTTGTGTCCAACTGGCAGAAAGGATATTGAAATAGACACATTGAGTCCTGTCATGACTCTCCATAAGAGGTACTAAAATAAAGAATTACATTTAAAATGTTCATTATTGTGCATGTGTTATACTTACTTGAATAACTGTATTATTTTTATTTTGCCCTGTGCAGTTGTCAGCATTGAAATGGATATTGACTGAGTTGAGGCCATGATTCTTCAAATAAATATGTACCATGCTTATGACAGGATTTGCCCCTTTACCAGTGTCCAATGATTCATCGATCAAGAAATTAACCTGCTGAGGGATAGCTTCACAGCACACACCAAATATTCCACATTTCCTGGGAGTAAAAAAATAAATTGGACCTGCTTGTAGTGGACTTGAAGGATAGTGAACCTTTAAAAAAGTAAGTAAAAGTAACACTTTAATAATTATCATAAAATGTTACCTGTTGAGCATACTTGAAGCTATAATGTGCTACAATATTTAACATAGCAAGTGGCCTTGTTAGTGGGGGATTTTAATTGTTCACTGCATCAGTATACAGCCCTTTTAACAATAATTGTGCCTCTTTTAATACATCCTTATAGTACTCCCTTTCCTTTTCAACAAGACTTCTGTGATCTAGTGCTTTTTGCATTGCCTGAAAATTCTAAATAATACTTGTGTTATTACAATACTGACTTACCTCAATTATCCTTTCATCTGATGGCATGTTAGCACTTCTAATAATCAGTCCACTTATCTCTTTACAAGTGGCACACAAGTCAGACATAGGCTTCATTTTTTCAATATAAGGCAGCCACAACATGTTGAATGTTGTTTTAGCACATGCTTTGACATGAAGCCCTTCACATAATTCCGCATACTCTAAGTATACCTGCCCTTTAGATGTACTGCATGGTAAGAACTTCTTATTCTCATAACTTTTCATTCCAGGTATTCTTCCAGGAAGACTGATTCCATGGACATCAGCGTAATTTCTGATGAAAGCAACAACCCGGAGAATATCATCATAAGTCAACGCATGGTTTGGTGTCTTTCCAGCATTTCCGTGAACTCTAATAAAGTTAAGTACATAACATTTAATTTGTAAGTCTCATACCTTGGTATTAATCCATTCATTCTGTAGTTTTTCCTAATTTCCTCAAACCTGCTTTTGCCACATGCATGTAGCTTCAGAAATGTTTCTCTACATATCTAGTTGAAAAACAATTAATTTTGTGTTGTGTCACTCATAGTTACAAACCTTATGACCTTGATGCATGAACGTAAAAAATTGCCTCTTTCTCTCTTTCTGTCTCCTGTGGTTGCCAGTCGACAATCCCCCCATGGTAGATGTTGCTGCCATTTGACTCATAATAGCAATTTCTTGAACAGGCTTTGCCATGGCTTGTATGTCACATCTATATGTTTTTATGTAAGAGTGACTGAACAGTGCATAGCAATTATCTGAGCAACCACATCCATGTTCAAAGAACTTTGATAATTCTTCTTCCTCCTGTAGGTCTTCCTTCCTCATGTCATCACAAGAGTGAGTAGTTGAAGTAGCTGGAGCATCAGGCATCGCTGATTCTAAATCAAGATCTGATACTTGTAGCTCCACAGCCACCTCAGGATCAAACAGTGATATATTAATATCTTCATCGCAATCTTTTGTCTCTTTCTCTTCTTTCCCTTCCTCTACCTCTTCTTCCATATCTTCTACTGCTTCATAATCTGTCTCTATCAATTAACAAATACACTGTATGACTAAGTTTAATATAATAATATTGTGCATTTATACAGGTGATGGAATGTCATTGTTGTGATTGCTAACCGCTATTCACAGTTAGTATGTAAATAGTGTTATGAATAAGCTTACCACTAGTTTCATCACAAAAGTAGTCCCCAAGAACTGAAGCAATGTAGTCACTGTCTCGAGGACCTATTTCTTCATTTAACAAGCGAGCAATGTCCCTTTCTGTAGCCGTAGTTTTAAAAGTAGTCTTCGTCTTTGTTATACTTTAAATAGTTGCTATAGAGACTCCATGGTTACCTAATGATGCATTAAAGCCCTCCATTTTTATTCAGTGGTCGCTCCGTGTAACATTCTCCGTGCACAATCATGGTAAAAATGTCGAAGGGCTTATAACTCAGCAAAGAAGGCTTCGCTACCCCTGATTTTGGTATCAAATGCAAGGATTTTGTTTATATAACATGTTTATGTGATAAAATGAATTTCGCCCAGGTAAAGATATTTCGTGATTATGAGCCCATAGCTGAAAATGATAATTCCCGCAGATAGCCTTGTTTTCTCATATTGAATCACATATGACTTATCTTTACCGCAAAATAAAGTATGCTGGTGGTCATCTTCACTAAAAAGGATACCTCTACCAAAATTATGTTCCATCACATGAATTTCATAGTGTTCAATACCCTTTGCCTTTTTGCCATCTCTTCCAGCCCTTCCAACTGTTAGAGTAATTCCTCCCAGGTAGGTGAGCAACCAAGTTTAACAACCAAGTCAATATTAGGAATATCTATACCCATTCTAAGTGCAGAAGTGCGCACCATTAGCTATAAATGTACATAAATATGTTATCATACACAGAATTAATGCTTGATACACTTGCTTGTATGTCAGAGTCATCAAAACACCAATATTAAATTATCTTAAATTTGTCGTAGCTAGATAAATTTTTGCCATTGTAGCTACTACTATTTATTCCTTTTTCTTTTAAAGCAATTGCCAATGGAGCAACATCTCTAACAAAGTTAGTATACACAATGGAGCAATTGTTACCAACTACTTCAGCAAGATAGTCAGCAATAGATGTGTAGTAGTCTGTAGTACATGTGGAAATGACATGGCATAATATAAAATGTAGCTGCTTCAGCCTGCTTGAGTATTGGCTGGGACTAACCTTTCTTTGGCAATTTCTTTAACTCTTAAGCATGGAGTGAAACATTTCTCTTCTTTACCTTTGAAGTTTTGAGTATTGATTTTATCATCATGGACATAATCTGTTCCTTAACTTTTGAAGCGGCAGTTGCTGTTAATGCCATTAATGGTATACCAGGAAAATGAGACTATTCAGTTCTAATACAACAATAAGTTAAAATTAAAAACTTTCACTTTTTGTGGCTATAATATAATTATTGTATGGATGATTTTTGAACAAAGTTTTTGGCAGCTTTTTTGCAAAAAGCACTTCCAAGATCTTACAGTGGCATTTTTTTGCCCATATAGTGTATGGTATTTACTCGTGTGTCCATGTAAGTGTGTGTGTGTGGAGTAAATCTTGTTATAATTATCATGGCCTCTAATTGAAATTTTGCTAATCTTTATTTGGTGGAATAATTATGATATGGGCCTCCACAAAATTAATTCCACATGAAATAAACCAGCTATAGGGTAATAGCTAATGAAGTGACTGCATAGCATACCTGAATGATTTCCAACAATTTATGAGATAAGCTTCATCTACTGCAATGGGACTTATTTCTTTGTTTCTGGCCATTGATAGAAAGGTTTGTCATGGTTGCTGTTGCTTGTCATAGAAAGATTCTAAACAAGAGTGTATTACTGCAGGTTATTTAATATGTTGTACTTTTGACCAGAACCAAGGAACGCTTTTCCATCTTATGTACTTGATCACACATGAGACTTATTGTCGGTGAAATAACAATGGCCAACTTTCCAGTAAGTAATGGTGGAATAACATAGCACATTGATTTTCCTGTGCCAGTTGGTTGAACTATAAAGCTGCCTTTCCCTTTGACGGCACTTGTAGTTGCATTCATCTGCCATTCATGAATACTTGAGAGCTTGAAATGTTTAGCTACTGAGCCTTGAATAACTAAATGATTGTGATCAAAATTTGGGTTGATTCTAAACGAAAATTTCATTTTAAAATCACTAAATTCAATGAATATAATTAGGCAACTTCAATTAAATTCCTTGTTCTTGCTTTCATAGGCAGGTCCCAAGCGGGCGGGCGGGCAGGTTAATTAATATTGATTTTTGATTATTGTTTAAATTAATTTTTTTCTCATTGTTTGATCATTACAAAGAGTTTAAACAAAAAGATCAATAATTTGCCATTATAAGCAATAGTAATAAGGAAAAAAAAGATGAAAAAACTAGAATAGGACAAAAGAGTACAATAATAATTTGATGACCTTTACCAAGAGTATACTTTGGCTTACAAAATATTTCACAAAAAAATTTACGTCCTGCCTTTACAATTATAGCTGGCTTATGACTACAATTATCACACATTGGATACTCATTTTCCTTTGTAAACGGTTGTTCTGTGGCACAATAAACACAAATAGGAGTGTTCTTTGCTGAGTAATACAACCGTTCTATTGGGTCATTGCAATCATGGTCTCGTATTTTGACATCCTTATATGTTTCAGGTAACTCTAGGTCACTCAATGCAGCACCACAGGAATAATCACTCTAATTGAGGATTAACTGTAAATTCATACGATCAGCAGAAGACATCTTATAGCGAGAAAATACTAGTCTCCACATATTGCATTCACTACACTGTACCATTAAATTAGAATTCTTAACATGCTGTCTAGTCGCATAAAAATGAAGCTTACGTTTCTTCTTTATTTGCTTTGGACTTTTAAAAGTAGGACAATGTTCTTCAGTAGTGACCATATTAAATGCCACAGAGAATGGATAATAATGGTCGTCATCCATTGGAGTAGGGTGAGGAATATGCTTTAAATTATTAAAAGTTGCTTGTGGCAAACGTGGTGGCTTACAAATAGTACATTCCAAGTTTCCACATTTGAGTATATCAAAGATATAATGGCTACCTTGACAGCAGTGCCTCAGGAAATCACATATACTTGGATGCTGGTTAATGGTCTCCTTCCGAAATATGGATCCTTTCTCTATTGTAGAATCCAATGCAATAAGGCAAATCCAGAATTCACTTATTTCTTTCTCAGATGCTGACTCATAAACTTGAAAAGCTTCGTCATGAAGTATTAAACGTGTAAATATTGAATGTAGAGTACTTTTGAGAGGTGACAAAGATTGTTTGACATCTTCCTTCCTCTGAAATAAACGCCGTCTTAAATCAGTGAGACTACTACATTTAGACACTTCCTTTTCAAATTCATCTGACATTTTAAACCTTGCCAATTCTACACATTGTAGTCCCAAATTGATTATGGACATAATTCTCTCAACGGAGTTGCACCACGAGTGATAAGGTGCAGTGCGCCCTACGCAAAGGTATTCTAGATCTAGATTTAAAAAAAGAGCAATGAGAGACAGCTGTACATATAAGTAAGTTACACGATGATCTGGACCCCCATCAGAATACACGAACAAAACTGGTTTATCTAATGATACTTGCTTCAATACAGAAAACAACTCGGTATGGTGCCTGAATGGTGAAGATGGTTCAAATATTAAGTCTTTTACACCAACATATACGGAGCCTACAATACAAAGATAAAAATGAATGATGAAACAAAACGCCATTGGTAGCCTAGACAAAAACTAAAAGAAACAATGTTATGTACTACTAAAATAATTTGAATTAATACTATGTTCTATGTAATGCATGCATATCAAAGAATATACATTTAAGTATTCTTTCCTAGCCATTGTTGATAAAATATGTATTTTTTGAAATGTCAAAAAATTGAAATCAGCCCAACTTACAGGTCATAAATATTTTAATGACTTACTGACTAAAATACATGCCGTGATTGTATTGTTTTGTCCACTAATAAGACCTTAATTTACACTCTGATCCCTCCCGTGCACAAAACAATTATAGGAAATTATAAAACTCAAAAACAATGCAAAAGCCATGTCATACCTGAATACCACGAATCTGATATCTGCTCAGGAATATTCAAAATGAAAACAACAGATGGCACCAACGAAAACTTGGTAAAATCATGGTCGCCAACACTTAGCACTTCATCACTTCTAACAATTACTCTTTTTCCTTGCTCAGCAGCTGCTACTGGGTAATTAGGTTCTCCAACTTTAACCTTATATTTGTCGTCAAGACTAACAAATGCACAAACATCCCGCAGAGTTATAGAGTATTCTTTCATATATCTGTAGCATGCTGCAGCATAGTGTTGCTCAGGATTCCACTGACGTTGCTGTACCATGATTTACTTTAAATTTGCCCGTATAATAAGGTGAGCTTCTAGCTCCTGCAGTCTTGGGTCAAAACTGTAAGCGCAACCACTCCAATGATGGTTTGGGGGTGTTCTCTGGACAAAAAGATTTTACTTGATCACGAAAATCCCAAAGAGAGATAGCTCTAGCAAGGTGGGTAATCTGTCCAATACGACGATCATCAACTGCAACTGACACATTTTCATTAAGAAACTGTTCACAGTAATCCCTAAAAACATTAAATTGACTCTCTTTACTTCCATTATGGCAACGAAGATCTGTTAGAATATCAGGATCCTCCATGTCAACTAGCTCTTGGATTCTCTTGTCTAGTTCTGCTTCCTCAGTAGTGGAAGAGGCAGAGTTATCACCTGTCAAAATTGTAAAGGAAATAAAATACATATTGTTCACATGTACTTACTACTGTATGAAATTGAATTTGGCAGTTTAACTTTGGGAACAACTTACATTTAATATCATTAATATTAAACAACTTACAATATGCACTTGATTAATAACCAACAAATTTAGAAAATTGTCAAAAAATAATAGTAAATATATACACATTGATATCATTTATAATCGCATAATACACTTTACATCAGGCATAAAAGCAATATATCTAAGCAATGCATTAATTTAAAGTGTAGCTATTCCTCTAATGTAAAATATAGTTAAAAACTCAACAGTCAATTCTTTATAAAAGTATCGCAATATATGAGTCTTTACATTGGGAGAAATCCGACCAAACTTGTCGTACATAGCTCTTCTCATGGCTCTTGAGTGAAAAACAGGCAGTCCTGGTTTAATTCTTTCGACTACAGATTTACTACGCTCAAAATAAACATTTCAATCAATACCTGATTCTTGAGGAAGTCGCCACAGAAACTGAAAATTACAGATGCCTCCACCAGGGTTATAGATAAGAAGCATGGACAGTGAAGACAAGCCAGATGAAATCATAAAGTTTAAAAATCAATTCTTTCTTAATGAGTTCAGAGGCATAAGATGAGTAATCTATAAATACTGATAAACTGCAAGGCTCTTAAGTAACTCATCAATAGGCTGAAGTGAAGTAGCAACTTCTTCCGTTGGTTCAATCAATTTCATATGCATATGTTCTGGTAGATCTCTCACAGGAGTTGGAGACCTATGGTTAGCTTTGATCTTTTTATTTTTATGAATTAAATAGTCAGGATATGAAGCAAGACTCTCTACAAAATCACTGAATTGCTGCTTGATGTCACTCCAGCAATTCCTAATAACACTCAAGAAGTATTGCTAAAAGATCAATTGCAAACATATGTAGCTGGTCAGACGATAAATTTCAGGTCAACCTCTTCCGATGCTTTGATACATTGTATCCAATAAAACAATTGAATGAAGTAGAAATACGTTTATTTATTATTTCAAATATATGGTAATGGCCATCAAGGTACCAGAATATGTCTCGTAAGTTTGCCACTAATTTCTTACCTAAATGCATCTCTTCCTGAAGTAGCCCAACAGACGATCCAATAAAAAAATGTACTATTCAAATATATAATGCATCTTTTCTGTTCCTTTCTAGAATGGGAGAAATAAATGTCAAGTCTTCCTGAATAGTAACATCCTGAGTGGCACGAATATTTGGTATGTTGACTTTAAATTGAAGTTATTTTCCATGAGATGGTACAATGGCAATAAGAGGTAAATTAGTATCAACATGAACAAGTGAATGCATCTCATGGCCGAATCTTGCTGAATGTAAAGTACAGTCCTCATTGTCTAGCCAAGGTTTAACTGCAACCAAGAAAAAATCAAGAACGGAATAGGATTCATTAAACTGAATAATAGTCCATGGCAAAAGGACCACATTACTGTCAGTACTGATGACACTAGTTGTAACAAAATGAAGGTGCATAGAGACTTGTGTCATAGCAGTGGTAAAACTAAGAAAACATTAACAACTAAAAAAGAATATCACAACTAACCAGAGACAATACTTTAAATCTGAAATAAATAAGATAGCAAGAGCAAAGACTATAATGAAAAAAAACAGCATTGACTAACAGGGTCTTTTTATTTAATTTAAACTTACCAAGATACCAGAAACAGAATTGACTATCAGGAAATTTCATACAGATGCTATGAAAACTAGAAATAAGCAAATAAATAATACTCACAAACCATGAAATATTATAAAGAGGGAAAATGTCATAGCTCACTGCAATGTTATTTTTGAGTTGCATACACTGCTAACAGAAAGTATATTAATATGCCAGTCACAGTTTGTATAATTCTGAAGAAAAATGAGAAACAGAATATACAAAAGGAATGAAGATACTCACCACAAGTAATGTCTAGTTCTCTCCTAGTCGTAACTAACAATAAGGAATCAAGGGGATTGGAGAGGACAGAAAGAGGAAGGAGTAGAGAGAGGTGCAAGTACCTGAGAAAAGACAATCCATATTAGAGACTATAGTTATAAACTAGGACAGTACATGCAGTAGGAATATTAAAAAATGTAAATACAAACCATTTACTTACCAATTTTTCAAATATCAGGAGACAATTTATACAGTGCAGAGACAAACAATTTACAATAAGTTAGTGGGACTACAAGTGAAATGCACCGACAAAATACCAGGAGAGAAAGCACTGGAAAACTTAATATCTGCACGAAAGAGAGAGAGGGCTACATAGGTAAAAGCTTGAAGGACAGAGCCAGTCCCCATCCACAACTCAAAACACCAGTAATTAAGTTGCAATAATATATGCACTACATAATATAACTACATGTATATAGCACGCAGCTGTGGTGAATAGCAGGCTAGGCATGCAGTCCAGCCTTGATGACCAGAACTGAGGTTTTAGTAACAACAAGCTCTCACCTCCCTGACTGCCGGCCTAAAAAGCTATTGCTACCACCAATATGGTTTGTACAATACATGCACATGTGTGCTAATAATAGGTAGTACTGTAGACAATGGCATCATGTAATGTAAACTGAGGCATGGCTTGATGTAAACTGAATATAAGTATCCTTTGATTGGGAAACAAAATGCTGGTTTATGATGCCAGGCCAATGTACACAAGTAAATAAAAAACATTTAAAA